ATAAAGCRTATGTCCAGCGTGAAAAATGTTATGATTTAAGTTACATTTAAAGAAACAGCAAAGCATTCAGTTTTCCATACCAGATATACCTAAAGATTGATAGACAAAAGCTACTTCAAATCAATATGTTTGCATCAAAGCAAGTCATATTTTATAGACTTTTTCCACGCTGTTAAAAATGCATGATGCTGAGAGCCCAGTCCTACCCCTGGGGGAATCAGTGAGTGGTTCTGATTGCAGCTGGGTGCTGGGCATCTTTTGCCTGCTGCTATCACCTTCTCTTGAACCTGCTTGTGAATTCTGCTCCGTAATTTTGTATCTTTCTCAACCTGGTCCAACACATTGAAATTATAACTGCATATTTTAAAAATAATGCATGATACTTTTTATAGGGATGTGTCAACTGTGAAGCACACACTCTGCTTTGTATTGTCCCGATGGTGTACCTGTGCCATAGGTACCTGTTCATCTGTTTAGAAATTCTAGGTATCTGGTACCACATTCACTGTTACTCTAGTAGAAAAGCAGACTTAACCCCTCTAGGAAGGCAAAATACCTTGTAAGAGCTTGACCTCTTTCTTATCTTTATGTTGTAGCTTTCATATCATAATAAAAATCATCAGTCTGGAACAGAACAGTTTGGCAGGATGACTCAGTAGAGGCATAAGGTGATAAGTATTAGGAATAAAAGGTAAGCAAACCATGCCAGGTCATTGTTGCTAAAGGAGGAGCCTTCACATATTGTTCCTGCTGCTTATGCAGTCACTAATAGTCTGGGCTTTACTAGGTTGTTTCTGTTCTTAGGACAGATTATTGATACGAGGTGGAGGTTTAGTAGGATCTTATTTATTTGCAGAGATTACACACTACATCCCAGGATGTGCTTTCTGGGGCAGCAGCCACGTGCTTTGCTTGCAGTGCTTCTAAACTGGCTGTGAACCAGTGTCCTCTGCCCCTCTGCTTCAGATCCCCTTACAACATTGCTTCTGTTCCTGCCTCCTGGGCCTCCCTCAGCACTCAGCTCTCATCATGCTTTCAATTAACCCATCCCCTTGTCCATTTATGTGGATCCAAGCCCTGAAAGGTCCCTCACACCCTATAGCTTAATTCTCCCCAGACTTGTCAGTACAGCTGGCTGACTTAAGAATTTTCTGCCATTTTAGTGCATTCAGGCTGCATTGTGTCTCTGTTTACTCTGTTAAAAGGATGGCTATCACATACTAGCTTTCATGCTGTGTAGCTGTCCACAGATCAGARATCTGCTCGAGGGCTTCCAGTAAGGTCTATCAGCTAAGCAGGTGTTCTGCCTCTGTGCTCTGCCATCTGTGGTGACATTTCCCTGGGAAGGATGACTTGGTTATCCAAGAACAGCACAGAGAAGTAGATTGCATGTGCTCAATGGTTTTAGCTGGAAGAAGAGCTGAAAGATGAGGAGAACAGTTAAATTTTCTTTTCCTGCCTTAGATCAGAGTCCAGACCTCTCAAACAGTGCCCTAACTTTGTCACTGTCAGGCATTTTGAAGGGTACACAGAACAAGAGGAAGAGGAGTCTTTCCAGTCGAATTGCTTTATTTCCTACTCGTAATTAAATATTAATTTGTTGAGGGATTGGAATCCAGCGCTATATCTATGTTCATAAATTAAGCAGTGTCAGAGAAGATTCCTGGGCACTTGAACTCCATCTTCTGTCCTGCTAAATTGTTCTCATGGTCCCTGGGCTGCCTTTGGCCCATGCTAACCTGTATGCTCGTAAGCAGTTTGCTAGCATGGTTCAGGAGATGACACGGACCCTTGCAGCAGGCRGTTCACATACAGCCACCTCAGCTTGGAAAGTTATTTTCTTGATGCAGAATGTCCTGTGCCCATTGTCCTCAGTACTGGGGACAACTCTGGGCATATTTAATTTATTAATATTGCTGTAGCCTGCATGCTCTACCTGTTACCTCCCAGTGAGAGGTCTCTCTCATTTGCTCAGTAGCTATTTCAACCTCGTATATAGATACAGAATACCACATAAAAGGGGACTAAGCATTATCTGCCCAGTATTGAGGGCAGGGATTTGAACCAGGAACTCCCAGGGCAGGGGTCTGAACTGGGAACTGACTGCTGTCCTCATGGGTSGTCATTAGACTACACATTCTCTAAGGCGATTTGATCTCAGGGCAATTTGATATCATGCCTTTGTATTGCAGCTATGCAATGAATRTGATAAACTTAGATAGCAGATGAGTCAGAGATAAAGGAAGGAGAATGATGCTCTAGACTAYAGAATGAACATGCACTTGGGAGAGAAAATTCCCAGGCACCTCTCTGCTTTGATACATGTTGAAGAATAAAAAGTAAATCAGAGGCAATTAAGCATTCTCTCCGCCAGTGTCTGATGGTGGTGAGCAGTGCAGGTTTGGACTCAGRTCCCTATAGGAATATGAGGGAATTCCTACTGTGCAGCTCATCATAGGAATATTTTTATGCCACAACCTAGATTTCAACATTGCAAATTTAACCTAACATACCTTTTAGCTGCTCAGAAAGATAGAACTTAAAAGTGTGCAGGTTGGGTTACATACAAGCTTCATGTTCAAGGGGATAATACTGGTGGTGGTAGACATGTATTTTGTGAAAAAGATGAGAAAATTGAAGTGTATTTTGATTTACGGTGCAGGGGGGTTGATTGCTGTACTGCAAAATGTTGCTTTTATCATTCWATGTACAACAATAATGTAACAGCAGCCCACACCATTTCCTTAAAAAAGATGTTTCACAGTCAGCAGTCAGTGATCTACTATTAGAAAAAAATGTAATATGTCTGGGTTGATTATGTCCAGAGAAGGTTCACACACTGGCTTTCAGTAGAATCACCAGGAATTGACTTTGGAGAGCCAAAATAAAAAGAAAGGAAAAGCTAACAGTAATTCTTAGGTGATTATGTGATTTCTCTAATTCTTAAAGCTTCATAAACATGTGCAATGAGATTTTTCTCAAAAGGTAAACAGAAGCTGTAAAAAGACTGTTTTCTAGTCCAGCACAGAAAGGATATCTTTTCCTTCTCTTCAAAGAAGTTCAGTATTGATCAGCATTCACAACATTAAGGATGAAAGTCTTTGCTCATATTGAATTTTAGTGTTCCACAACCTTTTTCTAAAAATAAGGCTTTACTGGTGCTGTCCTGGAACAATAATACTGTGACTGATAACCACAGAGAGGAATTTTCTCACTCCTGCATATTCTGCATGTGCCTCCTGAAAGACTTTGGGAATCTGCTTCAAATATAAAATAAAGGAAAAGCTGAACATCTATCACACATGGAAGGATCAAAAACTGTGGCTCCTTGTGGAGTAACTGTAGGGAGAAAAACAGCTSAATAATGTTGAACGTATTCAGATCTCTGACTTCACCTAATGCGCACTGTCAAGGTTGTGTTTATAGTCAAAAGGTGRTTGACTTGTATGGATATGGAAAAGCTTTGGTGCTTCTGCCTTAACAGACACTGATCTATTATTTCTTTGAGACCCACTGCCAGTTACTTCTATCTTGTTTCAGACAAATATGAACATAAATAAGTTACCTGGGGTATGGGCTTTTTTTAATTGTTGAAAATGTGTACCCCATGACCTGGGACATGCCTCACGTACTTGGTACACTAAAATTCTTTGGGTGTTAAAAAAGATTTTTAAAAACTCAGCTAAAAAAATCAAAGTCCCCTCAACCTCAGCAATATTATATTCTCCATTCATGGATGTCAAGAATATTCACTGAAAGTGCCTATGCTCAGGAGTCAGGAACTGATATATGAGGATTAAATCATTGAATCTGTTTCACCTCGTCATTTTGAGAGCACTTTCTTACTGCAATCTCTAGAACAACCTTTAAAAATCATTCTTCAACTTCTAAAGATTTCAGTACGTGAAAACTTACATGATRACCTTTCCTCACTGCCTGGTGARGTACGTCRTTGAATCATTATGGTTGGAAAAGGTCAGGAGGGTTAAGGAAAAGTCTMTGAGTGGGGAAGGGAGGAGGAGATTTTCCTGCAATTTCTTGACTAGTCCACAGCTGTTGTGACTACGAACTGGCTCGAGTAGCCACTGTGGGCTCTTTTTCCTATAGGAAAACACCAGGAGGGAGTTAGATCCTGCTGGCAGATCAGATCCAATTGTACTGCCACCATCCAAGAGAAATACATGAAGAGCCAAACTGTTTCCTCTCCTGAGGTGACTTTCCCCAATTTTGTTGCCGTTTTGCTCCCAGCAGGAGCCTTGTCTGCTGCAGCAGATGGTGAAGGGCAGAAAGGAGCACAGGGGACATTTCTGAACACAGTGCTCTGTGTTCAGTACCTGTTTCATGATGGGTATGCCTGATAGGTGATGTGGCTTTTCTTGGGTGCCTCTGCCCCTGCTACATACAATAGGCTTCCCCCAGCCAGAAAAACGTGTTGTTGCCTCTAAACATGTCAAGAGCCACTTCATCAGGAAAATAACCACCACAGTTATTTCTGCAAGGGGTAGGGTGTTGTCTCAGAAGTGTCACACTTAGTAGGAAGAATATCAAAAAAAAAAAAAAAGCTTTGTTTTTTTCCTTCTCTGGAGATGACATGGCTGAGGAGAAGCAGACAGCCAGCTTCAAAAGGAAATGAAATCTCAGACACATGGTTGCTGATTTATGGAAATAACCTTCCCTTTCCCAAAGATAGAAATCTTCCACTGGGAACTGGAATGTACAAAATAGTCTGACAGCAGACCGTGTGAATGTGTGTCTCTAACATAAATATAGCTAATATTTTCCCTTATTGCTGTGTAGCAATCTCTGGGCAGCAATCAGATGCATTTAAATGTGGTGAATATGAAAGTAATAATGTTTCAAATTTTACTCTTGTACATACTGTCAAGGAAAGAACATTGATAAGTCTTTTTAAAATAATCTGATAGTGAAATAAAGTGAAAATCGAATTCCTGCAATACAGTTAGTGTTCTTTTTAATTCTTCACTGTCTGAATTTTCCAGGGTTTTGAAGGTATTCCTGTCCCGAACTGCTCAGCGTATTCCATACATGACAGGTGGACGAGTGATGAGGATGCTGGCTGTAATTCTCCTGATAGTCTTTTGGTTTCTCGTCGGCTGGACTTCTGCAATAAACCAAAATTTGGAGAGAAACATTCCACTCATTGGCCAAGGGCAAACATCTGACCACCTGATCTTCAATATGTGCCTCATAGACCGCTGGGATTACATGATGGCTATTGGTATGTTCATTTTGTAGCTTGTCCTTTAATTGTTAAATTAAAGCTTAGTTGCTTTTGACTTCCTTCTTTTTTTTCCTTCTTTTAAAATACCTAAAGTTTTCTCAGTCTGTGTAACATCACTTGGAAAGCATCTAGGAGAGTGAAATATTGGCAATGCATGTTTTTAAATGGAGTAATAATTAAAACATAATCAAAATATTTTCCAAACTTTATGACATTCAAAGGTTTGTAACTTTGATTGTAATAACAATATTATTGGTGTTCAGGAAATGATCCATGAAGGCAGAAGGCATCTAGCATGCTACTCTGTTAAAGTGAGACCCTGTGACTAGAATAAGAGGGCTTTTGCTTCTACTCCACAGAACTGGTTAAATTTCTCTGGTGTGGGTAGAAAAAAAACTCGTAAGACTCCTTTTGTTTATTTTTATATAAACTAGTATGCAGGTAACGGGAATATGACATGCACACCCAACTTTCCATCTGTTGATATTTGCTAGATGTGCTCTCAGTGCTTGGGAKAGACAGGAGCTAAAAATGTCAACCTGCAGAACTCTTTGAGGAGAAAACATTTTTATTTCTTTTGTTTTGTAACAAGTGGTGGGTCGCCCATGACAGGGTTCAGCCATCCCTGTACCATGGGCTTCCCCTCATGTCTGGATGGCTCCAGTGCTTCCTCACCAAGAGCTGCTCTTTCCAGGGCAGCACAGGCATAGGAGCAGCTTCTAGGTTTTAGGAGTACTTTTTACCAAGAGTGATATACAGAAGGCCTATGTGCATGGTATCATACAACAAATTTAAAGGACAAACAATTTCCACCTTCACCAAGGACTTACTGGCATGGGAAACAGATGCCTCTGAGCTGCTGCGTTCCCTGTGTCATCCCTGTGCTCTGGTCTATGAGGTGGTCGGCTGGAGTGGTAGTGAATCTGCTAGGGCTGTAGCTGGCAGACTGCACAGAGATGAGTATAACTGGATGCTTTTAGAAACGTGTCTGGTTCTGGGCTCTTGGAGGGGAGATACCAACAAAATCTAGCTATGTGTTGCAGTAATGGACCTGGAGATGCCATAAAGAGAAATAACAAAAAGGAATTAAATGTGGAGCACATGCTGGTGTCATCTGCATGGAGCTGTTTGGCTTGAAAATTCTATGGCTTTCCATTGTACTACAGTCCCATATTATTAAAAAATTGATACAGGCGGTTGATGCATAATGGCAAATGTGTTTTTATTCTCTTAGTCTTATAGCTGTAGTAGTGACGTGATGAACAACTCAGATTTTAATACCTAAATATGATCAATAGCTTCCTTTTGGTGAGGAAATGATATGAATTGCCCTTTTCCTAGTGATAGAAATGATAAAAGATCATGTTTTAAGATATGTTTACAACAAGAGGGTGTTATTAATGTTTCAAAATATGTTCAAGGGGAGTAGAGACTAGACTAGTTTTCAAACCTGAACAAAATAGGAAAAACCTCTTATACTGTCTTATAAGCACACCTAGGTTTGTGCAAATCTGCAAACTCTGCAACCACCTCACTGGTATCAGCAGATAACTATCAGCAGATAGTTACCTATATCATACAGCTGATATAACTGTCAGCACATAGCAGATAGCTATAAGGCTGTACTAAAACGTGCATGTGTGTTTGTATATGTGTGCACTGTAAGATTTTTATTTGCTAATAGCAGCCCCAGAGCCTTAAAACCAGTTTGGTCTAATTCCAAAGTCAGATACTTCATCTCAGAGATATGTCAGGAGGAATACATATAATTCAGGATCTCATTTATTCATAGCATCGACAGGGAGCATCCTTGAAAAAGATTCAGTATTATTAATTAATTGATTATGGTGCTTGATTTAAAATGCTAAGATAAAAATGCAAGATACTGATTTATAAAAAATATCTTATGTAGTTCAGTTACAGTTTGGCACATTTTTTTAAACAGCACTAGTGCGTTTTGTTTAATATATTCTGCTAAATGTAGCCTGATGCTAGAATACCTCRCTGTTGCAGTCTGCTGTCAAGGTTTCACTGAAACGTGCAGAGGGAATTTTCAAGGTTGCAGATTAGTGAAGTGAGAATTAACAAGGCTCTGTTAGAAAGTCATAATGAGATGAAGCCTTTATGCTAACAGAGGTTATTGCAGTTAGGATTTATGAAGCATTTTCCAAACTAATCATGTTATTTAAGCTCTATCTCAAGAGACTTTTATTGCAATGAATGTTTTATATTTACATTTCCATTAAGCTTAAGAGGATACTCAAGTTGAGACTTAGACACTAAGGCTGTCTCCATTTCTAACATTCCCTCTGTATTCTTTGGTTTCTTGATGAGGCAAATCAGCATTCAGTAAATCTCATTTTATCTATGTAACCTAATATAAGATAATATGCATTTTCTTTTAGTATGGATACTTGTAGGCAGCTTATTTGACACTTACTTGCCTAGATTCTTATTTGTCACTTATTTGCCTAGATTCTTTTTCTCCTTGTTCATTTCATCATGTCACTTCCTAGGTTATTGCATCTGTCACATTGACAAGTTGTGGCACAGCTGACAAGCCAGGACTTCAGAGAAAGATGTGAGGGCTTGAACAAGCCCTTCCACAAAGCCTTTCTGTTGTGTCTTGAAGATATGTTATGCTTTTAGCTGCCACAGCCAGATTTCTGATTTCAATTTTTTAAAAATAGAAGCAAACCCAAAAAGCTTGTGGTGCCTAAAGCACCACAGTATTATGAATCAAGTTATTATTATTTATCCTAAAAAGAAAATCCTGTAAGTGAAATGTATATCAGCACAAGATTTAAGAGAACTTCCCCAAAACTGGTGGGAAAAAAAAATCTTTAATGAACAGAGTCCTTGGCAGAAAAGAAGGACAGGCACAGAGATAACACATGTGTTTAACAGCACCAATAAAAAACATGGGTAAAATCCTCATAGTTTTAAAGTAGGTGAATGTTTCTCACTTCAGTGGGGCCAAGGTTTCATCCGCTATGAATAGCATTTGTACTGTAGTTGCTAATAATTCCCACATGGGCACTGTGTGTCTTTTTCAGAGCTTATTTAAACCAGAAATGAATGACAGATCTTAACTAACCATAGCTAGGTATTTTTCCCCAGCACCTGCTTGGTTCCCAGCTGGCAGGAGCTGTTCTCCTCGAGTGCAGTTGGCCTGAGCTACTGTAATGGCACTAATTGGTAGCTCATATTTTTGGTCCTGTTATCAAGAGAATTTCAAACAAAAGGCTATATCATGATTATTGAATGCCCTCAGCCAGAAAAAGGAACAAAGTAAGTGTTTCAGGCTGTGTTCCCAAAAGAACTCCCTCCCACTGTTCATTTGTTAATATTTAAGCTATGTAATCTTTGTATCTAAAATGATAACGAGTTGCCAAAACAAGCTCTGATAGGTGGAGCATTAAGAACATCCATGTAGATTTGAGTCAGTGCATTGTAATAGAGTCTTACAAGGCCCTTTATTAGGTTTTCTACAGGCCCTCAGCTACATTCATCATCTGAGTGATTATTTTTATTATCCACATCTGATGAATGGCCCTCTGCCATTTTTGGGGTATGTTGTTCTGAGTCTGCAATGAATGAAGAATTGTTAATTGCCGCATGGACATTTTTAGGCTGTGTTCTCCCTCACACTGATGTACAAAGATTAAAGCCAAAATTGTCAGCAGTAGCTATCCATTTTGGTTGCCTATCTTGAAACACATAGGAGCTGATTTTTCAGAGTATTTGGAAATGTTTATAGCCTCTTCTGTGTTGAAAGCATAATCAGGATGTACTTGTTAACATTCAGTATTTATACAGATTCTAGCTTTGGTATTTCAATATTACATACTCAGAAAATGTACTATGTAAAAGTCGTGATCACTTGTGAAAAGCTGGCTTTAACTGATGTGACCAGGACTAAATGAAAATATTTGCAGTACAAATGGGAAAAGAATCGCTTTTTTACAGAGGAGCATTGCATTGCTTTCACTTCAAAACTGCCCTTTTTCTCCATATAACCCACTTCTCCCCCCACATACACCTTTATCGTGGCCCACATCAGCAATAATAGTTTAGGTCCATCATCTCTAAAAGATACTGTAAATCTTGTGGGAACAGTGTATGGATGAGCAGCAAGGGTGATGAGTGGTACAGAACATCTTTATGAGAAGAGACTAAATGAAGTGGGACAATTCACTCATCTCAGCCTAACTGTTTCTCCACATGTAATCTAAAATAGAACACGCTCAAGAATAGAGGAGAATGAAGCTTCTCAGAAGCCCCTTTTTTTTACAATGGGTCGTCACAAGTTTTCTGCCTCCTTTTCTCCAAAGCAGTGGAACTATTTTGAATTAACGAGTGCCCCAAGGAAAACACCCACTGTAGGATTTTTTTTTACCAAAATGATTCAGCTTCTACTGAAAACAAGAACTTATAATGGAAAGTGTCAGGGAGCATTGGGTTCTTCTCCCACTCCCATCTGGGGTGGAGATACAACAGATAATGATATTGGAGCATTCATATAACTAGTAAATGAAGTAATTTTCTAGATACACAGAAAAAGCAAATGACTCAATTACAAATTCAGATTTTAGGTGTTTAGCCCTTGAAGTCATCATCTACCTCTTTAAACTTGTAAAGGTTAGGTAATAATATATTTTTTTCAAATGCTCTTGTCCTTGAGAAAAAATAAGATGCTTTCAAATATCCCTATTTCAGTGTTTTCACAGAATCACAGAATATTCAAGGTTGGAAGGGATCTCTAGAGATCATCTAGTTCAACCTTCCTGCTCAAGCAGGCACACCTACAGCATGTGGTACAGGGCGGCAGCCAGGCGGGTTTTGAAGACCTCCAGAGTAGGAGACTCCACAACCTCCCTGGGCAGCCTGTTCCACTGCTCTGTTACCCTAACAGTAAAGAMGTTSCTCCTCACCTGGAGACGGAACTTCTTGTGYTTCAGYTTGTGGCCATTACCCCTCRTCCTRTYSCTGGCCACCAGTGARAACAGCCTGTCCCCTTCCTCCCTGCATTCTCCCTTCCTGAACTTATACATATTAATCATATCCCCTCTGAGCCTTCTCTTCTCCAGAGAAAACAGGCCCAGCTCACTCGGTCTCTCCTCATAGGAGAGATGTTCCATTCCCTTAATCATCTTGGTTGCCCTTCTCTGGACCCTCTTGAGAAGCTCCACGTCCCTCTTATACTGGGGAGCCCAGAACTGCACACAGGACTCCAGGTGCGGCCTCACCAGAGCTGAGTAGAGGGGCAGGATCCCCTCCCTTGACCTGCTGGCAACACTCCTCCTCCAGGATGCCATTGGCCTTCTTGGCCACGAGGGCACACTGCTCACTCATGGTTAACTGTGTGCTCTCGTGGCCAAGAAGGCCAATGGAATTGTTGTATGTACTTACGATTTACTAAATGATGAACCCCCCTCCCTATATAATGGAGTCATAAACTGTTAATAGATCATTTGTCACATACCCAATGTATTTCTGAATGATAGTTGCCTTCATGTATATGAGATTTTGGTCGTCCTGATTCTTTCTGTGTTAGAGTTGTAGTTAGTTCCAAGCCAGGCTCTGTTTGCTCAGTTTGGGTTGCGTTACTCCCTGTAATAATGTTGCTCCTTCTTGGCCATTGCTGCATCCCAGGTGAGATCCCGTAGCTTTTGTTTAGGCACCATTTCTACAAAGCATTTCATTTAAGGAAGCCACATGTGTGTGGCTTTAGCCACAAATTTGCCTGTTGGTAAGAACTATATCCAGATACTCCCCCATGCAGCCCTGGGGAGGAGCTGGCTTTGGTGGAGGTTGGAAGTTGCCAACTGTTTTCCATGTGTCCCAGCAAGAGTGCTGGGCTGGGCTGGGCTGCCTAGGAGGTCTTCAGGACTTCCTCTTCTGGAAGCCACTTCTGGTTGTGCTCCACATCTTTCCAGCCCTTCGGGCCCTTTTTGATCTCATTGGCATTTGTGTGTATTCTCCTTTGCAAGACATTTGCAAGGCCTAAGAAAGTGGGAAAGCACAAAAATGAGAGTAATTCCAGAAGAGTGTGAGCTTGAACTCTGGCATCCATTTCACACAGTGAGACACCTGTGTGAGGGTCAYGTTGCTTACGTTCAGACTGGTGAATACATCTTCATTGCCAGCTAAAGGCAGCAGTGGGTCACCCTTGAACCCAGGTTGCCCCCAGGTTGTGAGGGTAAGTTTGTCCCTTCCTTTATTAGTCTGAAGGGCACAAGGTGGCCCTGGGGCTTCCTCRGGAGATGGAGGGTAAGGTGCCCTGCAGCAACCCTCAGGCCCCTGCTGTTCTGCTGGACAGCAGCAGGAGCAACCCTGGTACAGAAGCAGGTCAGAATTTGGCTCCATTGATTCTTACTCCATGCAGTGTGACATAAGGAGCTCTATTGCTGTGCTTAACTAATTAAAATGATGCTGAGTTATGATGACAGGGACATATAGACCTTTGGTAATTTAAATTTTCTTAAGAATAGTTCAGAGCTAAAGACTGAGACATGTAATCATGCTTTCTTGAAATGTATGAAAATCCTTTCAGCCTAAAGAAAAAAATAAAAGTTCTTTTATGGCATGGTGCAGCTCTCCGGGTGGGAGATTGAGTGCTGTGAGGCAGAAAAGAGACTGTATTGGCTGGCAATAGAAAAGCAATCTAGGACATGATTTTTTTTCTATTTTAAAATGGTGTTCTCTCAGCTCCAGAAGTCAATTTGAATGAATAAATGGATGGAACAGCTATGCTTCCAGATCCAAAGAGTGATTCATTTCAGTAAAGGGAATTTAAAATATAGGCAATAGTCTGATGAAATAAAATGTGAGGGAGAAGTGGATGAGTTGTTGTAGCTTAGCTGTTTAATTAGAGTTATAATCTCTAATTTGTGTTCAAATTCCGATGAAAAAAAGGTCAATAACTGTTGGAATAATACTGTTGCAAACAGAGCAAACTTCTGAATTCCAAATGAGCTTGTTCTAAATCACAGTTAAAAATGGCTCTCCCTTCTTGCAAAAATGTAGTGAAAACACAATGTCACCATACAAAGTATTTCTCTACCTCTGGAAGGCAGGAGCCTGTYCCTGTTCTAGAATGGTGCTTTTTGACAAAATGGGCGTGGTCATAAAAGGACATATTATACATAGTCACAAAAATTGGAGAGCTTCCGGGCTGCCTTCTGCTTGCGGACAGTGTCTGGAGAGGGGAGTGCCAGGGAATGTGTGAGCAGGGATCGTGGCTCAAGGGAGCTGCTTCGGGCGGCTGTAGCCACAGCCCATCTAGAGTCTTACCTGAAACATCATGGGAGAAGGGCATTCCTGGCCGGATAGAGTGGAGAAGAAGATATAACAGCCTAAAATAGCTCACTTTCCCTCCTAGAACAAGGAGGGGGGGAAAGCTCACAGATGAGCATTTAAGCAGTTCACAAATAAAAGGGAATTGATGCCCAGCCTCATCCTGCAGTGACAAGGTGGTGTTATCCCCACTGGGGCTGAGGCACAGTAAGATGAGTTTTTTTCAGTCCATTTAATCTGAGTGCCCATTTTGCAGTGTTTTTGGCTCAGTTACGGAGATTAGCTGGCTCTGTGYATAGTGGTATGTGTTTCCCACTGACTACAAATACAGACTTGTATGCCTAGTCCTGCTGCATATCACGACAAAAATTTCTACAAGGGTAGAGGGAACCTTCAATAGAGTCAACCATAAATCTTGTACTACAAGTCTGAATTTAATTATATGAACTAGATTTTTTCCATCAAGCACAACTTCCATATGGTATATTTAAGCTGCGTAATTAGTGCTTTAGATAACAAATTGTTTTTGAATTTTCAATTTTTCAGTTGTTTTGTTTGTCATTGCTAATGAAATTATTGTAGTGCTGGGCTTATTAATTATAGGAACTCTTTAATTTTACTGCTTGTTTTAAGAGCTATTTTCTGTTTGTACAAGATGTCACTAATTGTTATCTGCAGACAGGGATGCCACCTCTGCTCTACGTGTAAAGCTTTCATGAAAGTGTTGTAGATGAAGTAGTGCAAACTGCTGTTGCACTCCRGTGTATCAGGGCTTTGGAGTCCACTCTTGTGGTTGTAGGAACTTCACATACATACACTTGTGAAACTGAAAACTGAAATTTTAGAATAAATCTGTTCTGGAGGTCAAATACTACCCTCATTCCTACTTAAGGCAGCCCTTTGAAACTGGTCTTTAGTGTTGCAGGTGTGTCTTTTTCACTTTTGATCAYGCCCTGAGGCATCTTCAATGGTTACATTCAATCTGCATAGAAAAAAAAGTTCTATTCTTGTAAAACTTCAAAGTCACAGCAGGGTTTTTTTTCTGATAAAAATAAGCAAAACTTGGCTCATTTAAGTAGGGAGATTTTCTTTAAGTAGGGAGACCTTCAAATGTGGAGTTTTATACTGGGAATATTTTCACACACTTGCCAATGCTTGACATAACCTCCCTCAGCACCCGTATTTAAAGTTTCTGCCAATAAAAGACTTGATGCTCTTCCCACTCTGTTGTGGCAGAGAAAGGAAAGTAGATCACAGGCACTTCTGTGGACCGTCCCTGCTCTTTGGCAATTAGCACATTTGACAATTAGCATTTAATGTCACCTTATTTAGGATCCCTTCCTGCTGTGAGGGACCTGGGTGAAAGGCCAAATAAGAGGAAATAGGATGAGCATCATCATGATCTAGGGAATTCCTTCTGGATCGTGTTGATGTTGCAGATCTCCATAGAACACAGTAAGATCCAATGATGTGGCTGCAACCTCATTTTGTGTCTATATTTTCTCCCTTCCAGTTTCCTCTAAATCGGTGAGGAGCAATTAGAGCAATGGTTGGCAGTACTTTGAAGAGCAATACCATTAAGTGCTGTGATTTTACATGTGCAAGACAAGTGTGCTTAAAAAAAAAAACCAACCACTCTAATTTGCAAAGGTGTCTTTAATTATACTCATTGTAGCAAAATTTGTATTCCACTTGCTCAGAGGAGACTTCAGGAGAAAGATGACTTTGTAGCTCTTGTAGGCTGAGCTGTGGGGAAAGGGGGTGTTTTTCAGGGTGGATCTGAAATTATTTTGATTGAATCAYGGTGAAAATGGTGTCGCAAAGAACTGTCCACTGGAATCTGAAGTCTGAGTCCAGGGTACGGATGAGCTGGCTCTAACACCAAAGTTGCAGCCCATTCTGACCCTTCACTTCTGCTCCCTTCTTTTATTTATTTTGCTCATAATGAGCACAAGCATATAATTTGTTATATTAGGTCTTCAGTTGTGACTCATAATATTATGGGCACCAGTAGAATTAACTGTCATGAACTGAGGAATTTTTTAGCCAAAATATATTGTTATGTCTGAGTTATAAACCTTTGAAATTGAGCTGTTGTCTTAAAAACCTTACAGGCTAAGTTATTTTAAGTGATGTCAAGCTTTTGTAGTACTAATTAAATTAAAAAAAAGCAGCAAGGAATTATTAAACTTTGTCTTAAAGCTTGTTACCTGAAAAACTGATACTCCAAGAATGCAAGGTTCCTCATCTGGAAAAAAAGTGTGTAAAATTTAAACCAAATGTGTGATGTACAGGGACAGTATCCAAAAATATTTGAATGTGTATTTGTGTATGTATGTATATGTTTATGAGTATATACAGTTTTTACATACATACTCTCACGTACAGAAGATAATATAGTACTTCATATTTCCTTCCTTTTTCCTCTAYAAAACTAATTGCAAATTGTTTCTTTTTGTTCTTCTCACAGCTGAATTTTTGTTCCTCTTGTGGGGTGTTTATCTCTGCTATGCAGTGCGGACAGTCCCATCAGCATTTCATGAGCCACGTTATATGGCTGTTGCAGTTCACAATGAGCTCATTATCTCTGCTATATTCCATACAATTAGGCAAGTGATCTGTAGATCGCGTAATTAACCATTTATTTTTCAGGTTTTGCATGATGCAATTAGAAATGGGAGAATGGGATAGGATGCACTATAGAAGGACTCATAAATATTTAATACAAATAAAGGAATTGCTTAACTTAAAAGTGTTCCCGCAAGGCTCAAGAGTATGTACAGTCAAGTTGGTAATCATATAATTGTTTTTTTCAATGATTTCAGTATATATGATAAATTAAAAGGAGCAGAATTTGTAGTAGTCTTTATTCATTTACATACTGCTCACTGGTTTGTAGCTCTAGGAAAACAGCAGGTAAGAGTGGTGGTTTATGTGAACTCTTTTCTTGTGTGTAAACAGATTGTCAAAGTGCAGTGTGATCCAATAYTTGTATTGATTCATGCATGAAGCACAGTGGTTTATATGCTGGCGTGAAAAACYCTTATGCACATGATGCTACAGGAGTTATATAAGGCACATGTTCCTTACAAAGTTTATAATGATCTTTGCATTTCAGACTTGTAAATGATAAGATTAGTAACTAATAACTAAGAGCCACTTGCAAATTAGCATTTCCCTTTCCCACAGAAAACCGTATAAAAATGAATTGCTCACAGAAAATTCAAAATAACAAGACAGCATGAACATCTTTCGGTTTGTGCTGTAAGAGATTCTCATGACTTTTTTATGACATTCTTCCTCTTATTTTTCATTCCTTGTCTTCTTATGTCATTCTTTTGTCTGACAGACCTTATCCACTCAGATTTTTTTTTATTTTTTTTACATGTCTCCATTGACAGACTTCAAATCCAGTTCTTATTTTTGGATTTTTCTTCACATTCACATTGCTTTGAGCTTCCTTCATGTTTTCTTCCATGAGGCATCATCTATTCCAAACAAACATCACCAAATCAAATCTTTCTTTCCTATTCCTTCTAGGTACAATGATTTTTCACTATTAAGAAGTTCGCTACACTTCTCAAGCTTGCAACTTTTTATTTCTTTCATCTCCTAACCCTCTGTTTCAAATCCGTATGCTTTCAAAATCTTGTTTTTACTCCCAACAAAAAATCGGAAAAAAATAATTTCAAAAATTGAATTTGGATTTGGAAAATACTGAATTACAGAAACTTTTTTATTTTCACCCCCAGCTTACACAGTACATTCAAAACACCCAGCTATTAGAGTTCTCTAAGTTGTCTATAACCAATATGACAGCTTTTCTAGCAAAGTTTTCCCCTATTAATTAATTTTCCTAAGTCACATTTTGAGCCATGGTAGAAGATATCATTTTCCTGTAACCAGGAATTTTAATTAAAAAACATATAAGGCCTTGAGTAAAAGAAAGGATTCTTCCCTCTTACATAGATTTGTACTACATTTCAGATCACCTCAGTGGTTTGGTTTTATATAATACATATCCAGATTTTTTTTTCATTTTAATGAAATATTCTTCCACTGGAAAAAGTTAACTAAATTAAATTCTGCAGAGATTCCTTTTCTTCTATGAATACCTTCTTTTAGGGCATGTATAATAAATCAGAAAAAGGAATCATATCTTAACAAGGAGACCCAAGAGAACAAGGTCTTCTGCTGATCCTAGCAAGGATAAAGTAGTCCTTCCTGCCTAAGATCTACTGATTTTTTCCATCTTTTTTTTTTTTTTTTTTTAACAAAAAAATATGTATTTTGTATTGCTTCATTACTCTTTCTCATCCACAGGTTTGCTGATGAAATAGTGCATAGTTTATAGATAGGAATGAGCAACCTGTTTTGGAAATACATGATCCCTCCTGAGATTATGTCTATTTCTGTATACCTGTTCACATTTCTCTTCTGTCTTCCCTTCTAAGCTCTGAGTCTGAAGGAGATGAAATGTAAGAATRATATTTATATCACAGAATGATTGAGGTTGGGTGATTTCTTGAGATCCAAGTCCCTAGTCCAAGCCCCCTCCACAAGCAGGGTCACCTAGAACACTTTGCACAAGATCATAACCAGGTAGGTTGTGACCATCTCCAGAGAAGGAGACTCCACAGCCTGTCTGGGCAACCGGTTCGAGTGCTCCCTCTCCCTTACGGTAAAGAAGTTTTTCCTCATGCTCAGATGGAACGCCTTGTGTTTCAATTTGTGCCTTTTGCCACAAAGGCACATTGCTGGCTCAAGGTTAACTTGTTGTCCATCAGGACTCTGAAATCCRTCTCTGTAGAGCTGCCCTCCAGCAGGTCAGCCCCCAACTGTACTGGGGTTCTTCCTTCCCAGGTGCAGGACCCTGCATTTCCCTTTGTTGAACTCCATGAGGTTCCTCTCCTCCCATCTCTCCAACCTGCCCAGGTCTCTCTGTAGCTGCACAGCCCTTTGGTGCATCAGTCACTGCTCCCAGTTTTGTATCATCAGCAAATTTTCCACGTGTGGGTCCCTACAGCTTGCTGGCTTGTCCCAAAGCAAAGCCCAAAGTTCATTGACAAGGTGTATATATATACACACACATATCCTATATAGTGAGATCACACAGAAATAAGGAATAAAACGTTTTGAGAAGATTGCACCTACCACAGTCATCATGTGTAGTGTTCAGTCAGTCAATTCAGTCAATTCATTCACATGCCACTGGCCTCTTTTGTACCCTGCTCCCTGTTTTTTCCATACTTGTTCTCCCATTCTCCTTAGCCCTACTCTTCATCCATCCTTGTCTTCTCCATATAATCCACTCTTAACTACTTCTTTTCCCAGTGGTTCTTGCTTTTTGGAATTTCTGATGTAATTACCTAGGTAATCATAGCTTTGCTATTACTATTATAGTTACTTAGATACTGCCAGCCTTGCAAGTTCTGCTCCCYGAGATGTTCCTGATACTCTATTCAGTTACTGCAAACTTTGACCTTCCTTCAAGTAGCTGTCCCTTAACCCCRGTGGATCTTAGCATTCCTCACAGCACTATCTGCAACTTTTGTTACCTTCTCACTCTATTACTTGTTGTATCCGTCATCCTCCCGTGTCAGCTTCAGTAGCTTTGTTCAGTTAGCTAATCTTCAGGCCATGGTCTGCATGCCTTAACAGCAACATCTTTTTAAGAACAAAAAATTTGCAGTATTTTGTTGTGTTGATGAAACATCATGTTTATAAGGTGATCCGATTATCACATATAAGCCAATTTTTCATGTCAGACTATTTCTGTTAACAAAAGCTTTTGCAAAATATGCATCTGTGGACTTAGATAAGTTGCAAATGTCATTTATTTCAGAATGATGCTTCTAAAGCCGTGAATTAAAAGCCAGTGGTACAACCATTCATCCATTATGCTGCTTACCATTTCTATCTCTGGGAACTCGCTGAAGCAGATAAGCCAAGCCTGCCTTGGCTTGTTCTGCCTCTTTTTCAGAAAGCTCAGCACGGAACTGCTTCATTTGGGAGATTCAGTCACTCAGTGGCGTTTGCAAAGCTCTTAGGCCCCGCGGTATTGAGCTGGGAGCTCCTGCAGTCAAGACCATTTCTCTGCTCCCCACTAAAACACATTTCAGTTCAGTTCTCTCTTCAATGGTTATCAGTGATCTGTGGACATCCTGCACTTATGAAATGCACTACAAAGGGTCTTAGTACACGAGCTTGCTGAATAACCCAAAAAGTAATCAATTCAGATCTTTAATGAATATGAGCTGTCATAACTCAGTTCGAAGCAAGGAAGCTGTGACAATTTACACCATCAAAAAACCAGCTTAACAGAGGCAGACACCTCGAATAAGCAATATCCTCTCAGACCCTTTGTTTTCGTTCTTTGTTTTATTTTAGATTTCTTTTTATTTTGAAACTGTGATGTGTAAGTAAAGCATGTGGATGTAATTTTTAGCCAGTATGGAAGTAGTACAAAACAAAAATGATTGTGTTTCAATGAAAGAATGCTAAGGAGCATTAAGTGTAATGTAGGGAGAAAAGGCAGTGAAATGCCAACACTGAATTCTGTTTTCAGATTCATACTTGCTTCAAGACTTCAGTCTGACTGGATGCTGATGCTCTTCTTTGCACACACACACTTGACTGTGACGGTCACTGTTGGGCTACTTCTGATCCCTAAGGTAATCTATTTTCCTGTCTTTTTTTTTTCTCTTGCCAAGACTAAGAAAGATAGATACTGTTATGTAGAAGCARTTCTTCATAAAATTCTTAATAAAATTCACTAGCAACCAGAAGAAAAGAGAGCTGCAAAGTTTGACTATGATGCCTAAAATATGAAAATATATATAAGGCAGTCCAGCTTTTTGTACTTTGAAGTCCACTTCTCTATTGCTTAAAATTTCCTTAAGCTTTTATATTATGTACATATAAATCATTCATTTGGCCTACCATGCTAGGACTCTGTCTTCTAAAAACTTGAGCAAAAATGGTTGTGCCATCTCTCACATTAAATTTAGAAGGCATTTGCTTGCTTTGGCCACATCAAATCATTCCTTGAATTACCTAATTGACAAGTGTGAGTGCTGTAGTGTCTCACCTTGAAGCACRGGCTTGAAATTTTTTGGATGGATTTGCTGACATTTGTCCACATCAACTGCGTTTACTTTTTTATTTTTTTTTTTTTTCCTTGGATATGCTTTGTGGAGATTTGGTGGCATTTGGAAATCAAATGTGCCATATTCAGGCTGCGCAACAGGTACTCTGGGCTGCAGGGGCTGAGTTAGACATTTACTCTGGTTGCTGATTTCAGATATTTGGGGGGCTGTGTGTCTGCCAGTGTAATCTGAAATCAGACAAAGAATTTGAAGGAGGACGTGGGAAGAMTGGAATGGGCCATTAAGTAAAATTGCAACGGGCAGCTCAGGCTGGCTGTGAGAGAGGAGGCTGGGATTCATCCTGGGCAGTTGCTCCTGGCCAACAGCAGAGACACTTTAGCAAGTCAGAAGCTTGGGACATTCCCTTGGCCCATAAAACAGAGCCAGGTGTGGAGGTGAGTGAGAGGATGGACATGTGAGGGAAAAGGAAAGGGGCAGAAAGGCGGGATGCAGGGAACAGAACAGAGCTTAGGCTCTATAGCCTGTTTCCCATCTGCCTCAGGAAATGAAATTAAACCATGTTGGTCTCCAGAGTGCAGGGATACCACAGGTAGCTCCTCCCGTTGCTGGTGCCAACTGTGGGATTTCACTTGAGCTTTTGTTCTTACGCCATAGCCTGGCAAACAAAGAATAATTTGRTAATGACTCTTGAAATGGCCAGTTCTATGAGAGAAAAGATCAAGAACCGAAGAGGATATTGAAGATGAAAAGGTATCCATAAAAGAAGAATGCCGTACAGTTCCAGTTAATGCGATTTCCACGTTAGTAAAGCTGCTTTTCCTATCACTTGCTTGTGCCAAAACAGTATGCTGATATCTGTCAAAGATGCATACATKAAACAGTCACCAGGGGACACAGTGGTGCAATCTTAACAATGAAGGGCCTTGTTTTGTTTTTAATGATTTTTTCTGGTCATTAACAACAGTTTTATTATTTTCTTTCTCATATGCATATTATTACGTATTTTCAGTGATGCCTTTYGACACCAGCCTAGAAAGTTTGTTAACATTTCAGAGGCTGACTCATAACTAATGATCAACATTTCTATTTTTAGCTTTATTATCTGTGTAACATGACACAGACTTTTCTTTCAGCATCCCAAAGAACTCAGGAAATCAAAGAAAATTCAGAATGTTCCATTTATAGATATAAAATCATGAGACCAAGTGACTATGTGTGCAGTGATAACTAGGGATCAGATAATTAATGTGAATAAAAAAAGGAGCTGGCACAACCTCCATCCAACTTTAGGTATGAGCATTTGCTAAAACTTAGGAGAGAGGGATTAATTTTCCTCCATCCTAATTTATTTCCATTTATTTTGTTTTGWTATTTTTTTTGCCGTCTCATCTCTTCCTTGTTTTGGTCAGAATCTAAAATGAAAGAATTGTTTTCTGCGAGATTATTCAACTGTATGGGATATAAAATAAAGTCTTACTCTTTCAGCAGCCTAATTGGAAATCCAGATTGAATGTCTATTCCTATATATTTTCATACTAGTTTAATAAAACAATTTAAAGAGGTTCAAATAGGCATGAAATGAAGCACAAGGAATTCATATAATGCAAATGTCTAAACCTTTTCAAGTTAAGCCATCATTAATAAAGATCCCTCGTGTACAATACTGATATTCTATAGGATGCTGTTAGTACCAATGATGCCTATAGCTGGTTATTTTCAGTTAACACAAGTCACGTGAAATTCATAGAAAGATCATTGTTGATGAAAACTTTTTTGTTTCATTGATAAAAACTTTTTTGCTTGATACAATTGTTGATGTAAACTTTTACAGTTCACTGATGACAGTGGKTTTTTTTATGAATACTTATTGCAGTTTTCACATTCAAGCAATAACCCAAGAGATGATATAGCTACAGAAGCTTATGAAGATGAGCTTGACATGGGTCGCTCTGGATCCTATCTRAACAGCAGTATCAATTCAGCATGGAGTGAACATAGTTTGGATCCTGAAGACATTCGGGTATATATAACTTTAAAATATTTGTTTTCAAGAACATATGCTTTTTTCCCTACTAGTTAACTCTGAATCGCATCCATTTGGCCTGTTTTTGCAGATACCAAATTAAGCAGTCCAGTGAGGTCAGATGATTGTGGTATTGGGTTCTGTAACATCTTTTAGAATGARTTGTAGTAGTGTGAAATGAATCTGCATTAGTTGTTACAGAAAAAGTCACATGAGAGGCTGAAGAAGAGGAAACCACAGCAAATGCTATTTATCAGTTTACATACRTTCTTTGAATTAGCTTGAAACAGAGTTTGATGTCAGTGGGATTAGTCATTTCCCATCACTATATAATATATAATTTTATCAAGCACAGTAAATGAGAAAAAACTTTTGATCCCATCCTACGTGATTAAAGGACACTTCTGTCTGCAGCTTCTCTGACTTAACATTCCTAAAATAAAGCATAGTGGTAGAGTTCAGCAGGAAAASATGCAGCATAAATGAATTAATTGCCTTTGGATGCTGTATACTGTGCTGCCATGCAAGGCAACCACTTTGTGCAATGATTTTAGTGTTGAATTTATTTAAAAATAGAAAAAAATAAGATTCAAGCTCATAGAGAAATGGCATATTCARGCATTGGAAAAGACAATGAAAGAAGTTTAATAGGTTTTTTAGTCTGATAGATAATACACTCGCTGGAGTGCTATGTTGATTGGATTCACTCTGTATATACTAGCTTTGTCGTTCCCTTTGCTTTGCAGGATGAGCTGAAGAAACTATATGCCCAGCTTGAAATCTATAAGAGGAAAAAGATGATTGCTAATAACCCACATCTCCAGAAAAAAAGGTGCTCAAAGAAGGGCTTGGGGAGATCGATAATGCGACGTATTACAGAAATCCCCGAGACAGTCACGAGGCAGTGCTCCAGGGACGAGAAGGACGTGGTGGAGCACAGTGCTATAAAGAATACTGCAGCACCGAAGAAAAACCCACAGGATTCCACGAGTTATGTAAAGCCAAAAGAAGAGACTTTGAAAAACCGAGTATTTTCATTAAAGAAGTCCCACAGCACTTACGATCATGTTAGGGATCAAACAGAAGAACCTAACAGCTTAACTAGAGAGAGCGTGGAAGGTCTAACTACTGAGAATTCACTTCTGGATTCCTTGACTGAGAATAAGTTAACTAAAAAAGCTACTGAAAAAGTTGAAGCGGTGTCCACTGAATCAGTCCCTTTGGTGTGCAAATCAGTAAGTGCACATAATTTAAGTGCAGATAAGAAGCCTCTGCATCCAAGAACATCTGTGTTACAAAAATCCCTCAGTGTTATTGCTAGTGCCAAGGAAAAGACTCTAGGCTTAACAGGTAAAACACAAAGTCTCGAAGAAAGCACTAAATCCCATAAATCTCAACAAAAGAATAAGGAGATCAACAAAAAACACTCAATCTCTGAGAAAGGAGAGCATAAGGATTCTCACGGGAAGAACTCTACGCATTCTGAGGAGGCAAAGAAAACCCATAAATCTGGAATTATGAAACAACAAAAGGTTAGTCAGACATCTGCAAATCCTGACACAGGGCCAGGTAAGTCTCTGCACAAGGACAACAAGGACAATTTTGACATAGGAGAAGTTTGTCCATGGGAGATATATGACCAAATTCCTGGTCCTGTGCCTTCTGACTCTAAAGTTCAAAAACATGTATCTATTGTATCCTCGGAGCCCGAGAAAAATCACCCTTCCCAGCCAAAGGGGAAGTCTCATCATAAATTGAAGACAGCTGAGGGGTATCAACAATCTAATCAAAAGAGCTCAGAAAAGTTGGAGACAACCCCTTGGGAGACACAAGAGCAGCAGGCTTTTGAAAATGAGAAAAAACAGTTGAATTCCAAGTCTCAGGTCACCCCTGGGTTGAAATGTGAGAATGTTAATAGATACGTGCCCACTACTTGTGCTGGGGAGTATGAGGAACCACCCCAGAAAGCAACAGAAAAGGAAAACCTCAATAAATTGGCAGAACAGAAAAAGAATATATTGTCTGAGGCAAATGTGCTTTCATCTGACTCCCATAAGCCAAGTAGTTACTTCCAGCAACCTTTAGCATCTCGAGCTGAAGTCTGCCCTTGGGAGTATGATACACCAGATTTACCAAATGCAGAAAAAAGTGTAGCTTTATCAAAAACCTCTACTATAAGTGCAAATAAAACAGCAACACCTCGAAAATAAGAGGTTTTGGACTGAGGAGAGTAGCAACACTGGGAAGAAAGACAACAGGAAAGACAGAAGGGACTTAGGCCAGAAGGATCTGAAAATTCCTAAGGAGCATCACTTAAATCAAGAGAATCAGCACAACACACAAGTAGGAAATAAGCAAAGTAAATTATTATTGTTCTTATTGTTTATTTTTTGAGTGCCAACAGTGTGATTTGCAGTGCCCAGAAGGTGGCCCCTGCTGCAGACAACTTACTGTGTCAATGAAAGAAAACCTGCCTTGGTGAAGTCACTACTTCAAGAGAATAAAAAAAAAATGGCTCTAACAAGTACACACCGTAAATAAACCTCACCAGAATTATTTCTGAATGCCCACAACTGGCTTTAACTTGCCCTTGGGACTTTAAAGATCCATCAGAAGTAGGCACAGAAAATGTCCTGATGGCAAAATGGGGTATCAATGAGCAGCTTATTGTAATGACGACTTTTCACGTTGCATATTTCATCTTGATAGCACTGCTAACTCAATGCATCCCAAAAATACATTTTATATAATGATTGCTGTCATTTTCTTATTAATGTATGTTTACGTACATTGTTGTGTCTCATATTAAAGCATTCCAGGTTGTATAATTTTTGCAAATAACTTTGATATTATGTGACACAACACATTTATGCAATCTGCAGATACTTTCTTCTTATTGCAACTTAAAATACCTGTTGTAGACTTTTTGTTTATATATAGAATTACAGTAATCTTTCACTGGCTAGGGAAGCC